CAAGATTAATGCCATGCTGATGCTACTTCCAGGGACTACGGAGGTAGCGTGGTTTTCCTGAGGGGTTGGGGAGAGTTCTGCAGCTGCACGCTATGTCCCGGAAGTGCGCGGGCTGCTCGGGTGGGGGGGGGAGTTCTGCAGCTGCACGCCAGGTCCTGGAAGTATGCGGGCTGCTCTCCCTGCTGCCCCCCCAACATCCGCTGCAGTACCTAAAATGCCGGTCTGTTGCGCGCTGGGGACTTTATTCCCATGTTGCCTTCCTGTGCACGGGGGAGGGGCTGGGGTTCTGGGACTGCACTGGCTCCAGTTGCTTGGGCAGTGCACGCTACCATGGAGAGCAGAGGAGCAAGGCGCTCACTGTGAGAGCAGTTGGGGCTGGTGCAGTCCACACTGTAGATGAGGCCCAAGCGATTTCAAAACCATGTCTTTAAGAAATACCATAGACAAGGTCCCTAGAACTCAAATTCCACTGTAGTTTTACAGATTATTTCAGGAATATGTATTTTGGCCCGGTTTTCTTGGTGAAATAGCCTTGTGCCCGCATATCATATTTCAATTGGCATAAAACCAAGCAAAAATAATCCCTTTGAGCTGGGTGAAGAAACCACACACACACTTTTTACATCCAAGCACCATTTTAAAATCTCATCTGTTCAGACTTCTTTTGCTGACATTGCCTCTCAAACATCACAAAGCAGCCATCCACAGAAAGGTCCACTGCATTTTTGTTCTCTTCTTGCACAATTCACATGCCCTGTCTCTTGCTATGTCCAACAGGCACCTCCTTATTCAGAGACTTTTCTGAAGAACACTTCGCATCAGAGCTAACTATTTGGTTGAATATGTGTAGCCCAGTGTTTCTTAATCTTTTTGAGGCCACAAAACACCAAACAATTTTTTTTGTATGTGGAACACCTAGGAAAATTTTCTTTAAAAAAAAAATTTGTCGTCAGACAAAAAAGGACAAAAACAAAGAAGAGGTCACAGTACACCTTCAAGTTTTTCCACAGAACACCAGTGTTCCTCGGAACATAGTTGAAGAAACACTGGTGTAGCCTCTAATGTTCATGCCTGCCAGCCCTGCAGAGCCAAATACTTCTGCTGGTCAGTGAGGTAACTTCTGGTCTGGCTCCCACGTCAATATTGTTAACTGAATTCCAATTGCAAAGTCTTTAGTCTAACTTCCCAGGCTGAGAATTACAAAGCTAATTTTAAGTAAACTGATAAAATCTGATCAGAAGGCCTCCAACTAATATTTCTGTGGGTTAATCCAGCCCCCCGCCCACCCATAAAAGGCTTCCCACCCCTGCTCTAGTGTGGTTACAGACTCTTTGTGTTCCTGTCCACCCACCCTCTCCCAGTTCCCTTCTGCTCCTAATTTCTTAGCTCCTTCGCCTGTTCCCTCCTTTCCCTATTATCCCCTTCTACCTCCTGTTCCTCTTCCCGCACTTCATCCCTGTTTCCTCCACTCTATCCTATCCTCTCCTTAGGAAAAGAAGATGGACAGTGGCTCTTTCTACTATCCCTTCCCTACCATTTTCCCCTCAATTCCAGTCTGTCCCGCCACCTCATGTGTCTTTTCTCCCCAATTGCTATCTTCTCTGCTTCTATCATCTCCATGGTTTCTGCTCCTAGCACTTCACTCTACATATCCTACATCCCCACCCACCTAGGTACAACATCACTTATCACACTTCTACATTCATGTCAAACTTCCTCATACTTCTTTCAGCATTCTCTGAGTGCCAGTATGGGTATGGAGAGCAGTGAAAACACAAAACAGTCGTCTTGTTCCAGTGTTTAGTGCCACACAGCTCTGCTAAATTCCAGCAGATTGGAGATGAATCCCTTGCATCATAGTAGCAGGACTGTCCCAAGGGAGGTGCAGGGATTGGGACCTAGAACAACCCCCTCCCAGTACCCAAAGCACAAGGCCAGGGCAATATATCCCCTCCACACCACAGGCCCCACTCCCATGCAACGTGGCCCAGGGGATTACAGGGTCCTGGTGCAGTGAAGGTTCCCCCCCTTTTTCTCCCCACTCTGCTCATCAGAGGAAATAGGTTTTGCCCACAAAAGCTCGTGGTATTTTTCCCCTTCCCTCCTCTCTCTCTCTCTCTCTGTATATATAAAAACGTCAGAGGGGTAGCCCCGAGTTAGTCTATAACAGGAAAAACTTTAAAAAAAAACAACAAATAGACTAGTAGCACCTTAAAGACTAACAAAACATGTAGATGGTATCCTGAGCTTTTGTGGGAGCAACCCACTTCTTCGGATGAATTGTTACAAAAATGGTATGAACAAGGACATCAGCTGGCTCACACACTACCTTCCACATCCTATGACTTAACCTACCAACCAAACAATGGAGGTGCTAATTGTTCTTATCAGCCTTTTGTAATTATCTGAACCATCTACTTTTCTTTTTCTCCTTTCCCCCCTCTTCTTTTCCTCCCGCCTCCCCTTTTCCCTCTCCCCTTCCCTTATTTATTCTTGGATCTGGACTTCTAATACTCCTGTCATCTGAAGAAGTGGGTTTTGCCCACGAAAGCTCATGATACCATCTACATGTTGTGTTAGTCTTTAAGGTGCTACTAGTCTATTTGTTAAGTTTTCTCAATATATAGTTAGTATCCAAGGTGCTACAGGATTACTCAATTTGTATAAGTTACAGACTAACATGGCTACCCCACTGAAACTTTTAAACAGGTAATGAAAGACTAAGTCAACCTCCATTTGCTGCAGTTGATTCTCAACAACTACATGGGTGGTTGAGGTTAGAAAACCATTGATCCAGGTAACCATCCCTCCAGCACAGAGCATCTGCCAGGCACGTACCCTACACTTTCCAGGTCTCTGACGCACTTTTCATTTCTCTCTCATTTTTGGGTGGGCCAATTAAAAAAGATGGGCAGAAGAAATACACCATTATGTTTTTGTTTGTTTACATCTGTTCAAAGCACTGGAAATGAGAAATAAAGGTAGATTTGGAACTCAAAAGAACTACACATAAATAGTCAAACTATCAGTTTGGCAGCAATTTCTACTGCATGAACTTGTCAAGGAAGACAAATTTCTATAACACCACTATGGAGTGGCTTGGACCAGATAAGTAAAATTAATTTTTGTAAAATTTAGGTAGTATACCAATCAAAAAATGCAGTCTAAAGATAGCTTAGAATGCAGTATATTATTTATAGGACTCAAATATTTCAGTTGTATTTTTAAGGTCTTTACTTCTGCTCAAAATATTTGTAGGTTCTGTAGCATGAAAGGATTGTATAGCCTGGGGAAACTGGCAATGCTCTTTTTACCTTTAAGTATTTACCAAGTACCCATCACCCTGGAATTTAAGCGCTTTTCGCTTAAGTTATTGATTTGAATCAAATGCGGGTCAGTGCTGACAAAGTCATTATCCTTTAGGGGCCTGTATGAAAAGGAATCAGACACAGTATTCTAATTCTTAGTGAGCAGTATACCCACCACAAAAAAATGTGGTCCTCTGGATAGAGCACTAGACTAGGATTTAGAAGATTTGGTTTCTAATCCTGTTTTTGCCACTCATTTGCTGTGTGATGTTAGGTAAATCATTTCTTCACACAACTCTGTCTTTTTAGATTGTAAATTCTTGGGCAAGGTGTATCTTCCAGTAGAGATTTATACAGCATTTAGCACAAGTGGCCATGATTTCAGTTAAGGATTTTTGTCATCAATACTACTACTACTACTAGAAAGTCTAATCTAAAGGGCTAAGAATTGAATATATATATAGAGAAAAATTAACTAACCTCCTAAGGTCTGGTCTATACTTAAAAGACAGAGAGATACTGGCTGGTGCATGGAGAGTAAACTCACACCACAGACCAATGCTGACAATCCCCACTATCAATGCAGCCATTTCAACAGAAATATTCCACTTCTATTGGCATCATTTTTATAGCGTACATATACCATACCCTAGCTTTTAAAGGCAATCTGGGGAAGTTAACAATGTCTGTACTATACCAGCTCTATGAGTCTATCCATCAGCAAAGGACTTCATTTTCTAGTGCTGTCAGTCTAGCATCTTCCTCAGTAAGTTTCAACCCTATAGTAATTATTAGGTCAAGCTGCAAGTTTCATTTTTGTGATTCGATGTTGTTTACACACACATCCCTTATCCACATCAAATCACTAGTCCCATAACAATGTCCTTTCTCATACAGGAAAGTGCTGTAGATTCAATTGGAGACAATTTAAAGAATCATAGAGAAATTTTTAATAGGGATTTAATTCTCTGTTAAATTTAATAGGATGGGTTAAAAGTTTCTCTCTATATATTCTAAAGGATATTTTCCATAACGGTCATATTTCCATCTTATATTATATTAGTCTTTATTCCATGCCAAAAACCCAGCAGGTTGAGAATAAAGAATAATGATCACTCTGATCAAATTTTAACTCATGCCAGTATTTCCAAGATACTATGTGTCTCAAAAAGGGTTTTGCAGAGTTAGTCCTTACGACTGCCCCTTTTCTCTAAAGCTCTTGATAGCTGTGCTTTTATTGTATGTCAGTTTATTTCAGCACAGTTTGTTAAAGGTAGTTTTCCACCAGAGTTTAGTAAAGAATATAAAACATATATTCATTATAAATGCTAAAGACCTGTTTAATCTCTTTCCCATTCAGAAATGTTGCAGCACAATTAATAACATGTAAAAAAAAAGCCATGCTTCTCCCTTTCCATTTCACCAAAAGAAGTGTCAAAAAAATCTTATATATTCATTGCAGGATATTCTGAGCCTCTAGGAACACTTGATGCTACAAAAGCCACACATTAGGTTTAACAGTTTTCAGTTTCACTTTGAATAGACACTACTTTGCAGCTAGTTTAGAAGGGATAAAGCATTTGCGCAGCAAGAAGGACCATGAAGCTTTGGAGGAGCTTAACTTTGAGCTTCAGAATTCTTTCAGAAGGGACAAAGGGAGGGGGAGGGACTTCCTGTCATTTCCATTGCTTTCTGCATGTGGGACCAACATGGGCAACACGGAGTTTAAACAGTTGCAAATGGAGGGCGGGAACACCGTGCCTTGTTCTACATATTTCTCCCTGACTGGGTTGAATTTAAAGTGATGTTGCTCCATTGTTCACAGGGCTCCTTGCCCCATATTGACAGAAGCTACTGTTTACATGGACTTTTCATTCTTTCATTGTTTGCTTATGGAAAATAAGGGGGAGTGACAAAAAAATAAAAGGGAAGGGGGGAGAGAAAAGAGGGAGTCACTGACTACATTGCAGAACCAGTAACCTTGTCTTATGTGATCATTAACCTTGCTGGAAAATGCAGCTGGCAGTTCATTCTGAAGCTTACCATTAGAATGTGAGCAAAGACACGAATACTGCAGAGGCATTTCAAGGACGGTTTGATTTGCTGCTAGTTTTAAACAATACCGCACCTACTTTGTGAGACTGCAAAATGAGAGTTCAACAGATCCTTTACATCTTACTTTTTCTCTTAATGAGTCTACTTTTTGTAATCGGACAGAGACCAGGTAAGAATTGTCTCTTCTCATTACCACATGTTAATTGTGTATTTTAAACGCGCAGCGACTATGCACTTTTAAGTTTATTGCTATGACTTTCTTCCAAGCACTTATGAATTCTTAGATTGTACTTTCATTGCTATTTGTTTTGCAGAATTTTTCAAGCCATGCGTCTGTAGACATATATTAATAGTAACAAATAAGTGATTCATGGATATTGGGTAACTACTGAGAGGTCTAAAAAATTAACATTTAAACCAGATCTAAAAGGCGTTGCCGTTCAGGGGAAAAACACGACCAGACAAATGTTATATCAGCTACATTAGACGTACCTTGGTATAGATATGGAGCATCTACCGCACTAAGCTTTGCTGATTGACTTGACTAGACAGAGTTTTACGCCCCGATACAAACCACAATCAAACTGGTAGGACTCGTTATCAGTGGCAATCACTGTGGTGATGTGATGCAGGTGAATTCGGACCCTTAAGGAACAATACCTGTTTTTAAAAGAGGAGGGGGGTAGCATTTTGTATACGGGATAGAGGAAAGGGGGCAAGAGCTCGATGCGATGCCATTGAAGGTCACCTATGATTCAGACCTGGTATTGATTTGATCGCAATGTTAGCGTTTCCTATGACGACTTTAATATTTATCGTAGAAAACAAAGCAGTTGTGCGGGTGCTATGTTTTTAGGCGGCCCTAAAACAACCAACCATCCCAACTCCCGTGCTTATTAAAGAAAACGTAACCCGACAGAGCCGAATATGGAATCGGCGCGCCCAGCAGCGTTATTTGCTTCATCGCAGGCAGTGGCGATAGGGACAGAAACAAACTCACTTCATTCTGTTTCCTCATTAAGGCGAAAGAAAGTTGTCAGAGCGCAAGCAGAGAAGGGAACGGCGCGCCCCCCTACTGGCTGCATTGCTGACTCTGCTTTTGGTTGAGGGAAAATATTTTCCATCTCAGAGGTGACTGGCTATCGCCGTCTATTCGCCCGCTGTAGAGCCAGCCTGACTCCGGATTTGTCATTCGAACACACAGCAAGGGGGCTTGAGACGTACGCTGGGAGGGGGGGAGCACTTGGTCCCCATTCAGAAATGCACGTTCAAATGTTGGAAGGGGGGAGGCCTGCAATATTTCTGAATATGTTCTGTCCTCACGCTCAGAGGTGACTGGCTATCGCCGTCTATTCGCCCGCTGTAGAGCCAGCCTGACTCCGGATTTGTCATTCGAACACACAGCAAGGGGGCTTGAGACGTACGCTGGGAGGGGGGGAGCACTTGGTCCCCATTCAGAAATGCACGTTCAAATGTTGGAAGGGGGGAGGCCTGCAATATTTCTGAATATGTTCTGTCCTCACGTGTGGCGCACACTGGGGAGCGCTCTTTCTGAAATGGGGAAGAAATCCAGCATGTTAAGGGATGCATTTTAACTACACGAAGGGGGAGAAGAGGCGGCTGGAAGAGCTAAGGCGCAGAGCATCCGAGAACTGAAGCAGCACTGTGGCTTCAGTGCAAAGAGGGGCGTGGTGCCGTCCCTTTGCTGCTTACGCCCAGTAGCACTTGCCCGAAATTCAGCGGGGAGGGGGGAGACCAAAGCAAGTGGGTCGGTGTACCCCGTGAAAGGCCCCTGGAGTCCAGCCCCTTCCGCGTGCTGTGCGCTCAGGAGACACACATGGACTTGCCTGGCGCTTGACATTTCCGACTTAACGCCTCTGGTTTGAATTCCCGCTTCTGCCTTTCAGCTAACCTGGCCCTGCGCAGAAAGCTGCACAGACACAACTGCTCCCACAGGCGGTGCATGCCTCTCCACTCCAGAGTGCCCTTCCCCTGAGAGACCTGCGAGCCGCCCTCCCCGCGCTCACCTTCGGCCACGGTACTTCGCACGGGTTGGGCAATACAAAGCAGGCGGCGCCAAGAAGCATGCAATGATCGGAGAGCTGCCGGGGGCGTCCCTGTGGAAACGCGGCTCACCGTGCTCTGCCTCGCCACAGCATTGCCCAAGTCGGCTCGCATTTGCCAACAGCTGACGTTCTACTAACCGAGGAGGCTACATTTGGGCACGAGGCCTTGGGATGTTTGTTCTGAAAACAGGCATTTGAAAAAGCAGTAAGGGGGGAGCTTGTTTTATTTTAACTGCATGCCAGGATCCCCCATGTGTGCTAGGATTATTGGACTTGATTACAGTCTTCTAATGGTGGCACATTCCGCAGCAGAGATTAACTCCTTGGGATAAAAAGTGCTGTCCCACATTAGCACTCCCTTAGGCAAACGCAAACTCCCTTCTCCTTGCATAGACAATACGTTCTCCAATCAAACGCTGCTGAGCTAAAAATACTTCCCACTGTACTAGATTTAATTTTCCTGAATACATTTCTCTTTGCATGCAAAACTAACCCCCAAACGTTTAAAAAGGAAAGACTGGCCAGTAATGAGAGCTTGAGCCTAGGCACCAAGCGCTCTTGGTTGTAGCCATAACTGATTTGCTATGCGAAGGGTAAGCGATCTCTTACTCTTTGCCCTAATGTTCTCCACTTACTTGCTTCAAAGGGGATTGTGAAGCTTAATTAGTGTCAGCAAGGGGCTGAGATCCTTGGATAAAAGACTATGCAAGTGCAAAACAATGCTCTATAGTCTATGCTATAGCTGATTACAGAATATGCATTTAAATGTGTATATTCAAACACATTCCAGTGACTCCAGATGCACACAGGTAGCCTATAGAAATATAGTAGGATAGGCATCAAAAGGATACCAAGACACCCTTTCTGGGAAGCATGCAATTTTAGAATGAATAAAACATTCAGTCAATTGTTTTGTATCTTTTAAACTGTTATAAACAAGATAATGTCCTAGCCCTAGGCATGTCAGCATAATTAATAAATATTGGCCAAATCTGTACTAGAAGGAGCCAAGAAGTCTCCATTTGCTAAGCATTTGATACTGTGTAAACAAAGACAAAAGCAGAGCTTCTGATAATGCCATGATTAAAATTTCTATCTTGCATAAAGCAAACACACACCACTCCCAAAACTATTTAAAGACATCTTTGTTTCCATATTACCACTCAGTAGCAACTGGCTGGACTGGCCTAAAGCATGAAGATTGCAAGCCTAAGGAATGATTAAAATATCTTCAGCATAACCTCAGATTTATTCCAACATTGCATTGAGGCAGTAACTAGAATATTTTTAGAGTTCAGATTTAAAAACATGCTCATGTATGTGTGTAAAGATGTTCAAAGGGAGATCTACCCAACTGGTGCCTCAATATTGATTGAGCACCTCTGCACACCTGCCTGCCTTTCAACAGGAGACCGTCTAGACAAGATCCCTCATCAGTGTCAGCATAAACAACCAGCTAAGCAATCAGATCAGCTCACTCAGCGGGCAGGCGTTAAGTGAGCTGAATGACAGCAGGGGATAGTGGAATTTAGTCTAGGAGTAGGGGACTTAGAGTCACTCCTGAAGGACTTATTTCAGTCCTGATTAAGACAGTGGACTCAACATTCCTTCTCTTCTTCCCCCTCCCCCCCATCCTGCATCTACAGCAGTGGTCTCCAACCTTTTTACACCCAAGATCACTTTTTAAATGACAGACCAAGCCAAGATCTACCGCCCCGCCCCTTCCTTGAACCCCCGCCCTCTCTATTCTCCTCCTCTCCCATCACTTGCTATCCCCAATCCTTATACTGCTACTTTAAAAAAAAAAGTTCCCACCATTTCTCACAGCTACTCATCTGTGCTGTTGCTCGGTAAGTAGCTGCTCCTCAAATGAGGAAATCTAATGTATATGTACGGCACAGGCATGCAGTTCAGAGAGGGCTCAAGAGCTACTCTTAGATCCTCTGAGATCTACTGGTAGATCGCGATCTACTGGTTGGTGACCACTGATCTACAGACTAGAGAGAGTCTCTGTGCAGACTGCATTTTCCATAATGTGCCCCTGAAATATCATACATTTGGCTTCAGATTGCACTGTGTGGGTGATAAATAAGCACTTACTTTGGTTTTTTCTTCCCTTTCGGCCCTGTACAGCATATCCATTTGCCCAACTAAAAGCTATGTGCAAAGTTATTTTCTTTCATTCAGGGAGCTGATTTCTAGAAACAAAGTCAGTGATGTAGCAAAAAAGATTAATAACCCTACAGGGCTTGATTTTGGGGTGTATGAAGGGTAAACATCTTCAGCTAGATGTGTGGGTACTCAGTGATTCTGGGGGAGGGGGGAAGGGAACCCAGACAGGCCCTATATCCTAAGTAGGCTTTATTTATGAATTCACATTTCCTTTCCAATTTTAAGTGGCAAGTATATTTTTATATATTTACTAAAACTTGCCATTTATTATCTTTATTTATAATGGCATCTAGAGACCTCAACAACAATCATAACCTCACTGTAGCCGGACATACCTATAGTAAGAAGCAATTCCAACCCCAAAGGTTTACAAGCTAAAACAGGCAAGACTCACAAGGCAAGCATTATTATCCCCATTTTACAGATGGAGAAGTGAGGCCTGGATACACAGAGACTTCAATGATGCAGTGTGGAATGTTGCAAAATCTTACTTTTAGGTGCTTTGAAAATCGCTGCAATTCCAAATCCCAGTGAGGCACCTAGGCTCTCCACACGAGGAAGGGGAGAGAGAGTTGCTTTAGAATGGAATCCATAGAAAACCACATTTGAGGCTAAGGAGCCAATGGAAAGAGCTAACCAAAAGGGTGTATCCTAAATCCAACCACATGGAGCCTTCTAAATAGTAATCCACAACTGGAAACCTTCCTGGAGGCAGGCAGGTTAGGCCTTAGATTAGAACAACCAGTTACTGCAACACCCAGATTAGGTATCTACACAAGATAACCAGTAGAAGAGGCAGCTTCCCTTATAGCTTAGCTTGCTTGTTAAGGTACTCAACTACAATGTGGAGGACTCCACTTTAGATTTTAACTTGTTCCTGGTAGGAATGTAAGGGATGTAAAATCCCATTTAATTTGTTAACTGTAACCGATTAAAGACTGGATGGAAGGTGGGGCCACTCCAGCCCAGTAGGAGGTAGGGGATGCACCAACCTTGATGACATAAGTCCCTATGTGTGAGCCCCAGAATAGCTTAATCACTATTCTGCAGAATGCTTCACACACTCTCTGGCCCAGATACTATTTTATTTCAATGGAAAAAACTTTAACAAAAGACATCTGAATAGCTTACAGTTCACTACTTCAGGCACTTTCATGGGAGATCCTTATTCAACTCTCTTTTCCTCATCTCCCACATCCCAGGTGAGTGCCCAAGCCACTGGACTAGCAGTTTTGAAGGAAGCCACTGCTGTTGCCTCCCCTCCTCCCACCTTTTACATGGAGCTAGGCTATCATTTTATACTTAAAATGCTGCAGCTGCACAATTGGAGCACTTCCATGTAGACAAGAGTACTGACACAGCAGGGGTTCTCCCATTGAGCCACCTGCCCAAAAGTATGTAATGAAATTGATAGAATTCTGTTGATTTAATACCATCTATACTGGGGGTTAAAATCAGCGTAATATCCCCATCTCTTGGGGAGGGGGTGATTTTAAAAAAGTATCTACAGCTATGCTAATATAAGTTTCCACTGTAGATCAACTTTTAGGCATGCTTTAAGTCAGGGGTGGCCAAACCACGGCTCTTCAAAGGAAAGTTGCCGCTCCCACACCCACGGCTGTTCTCCCTTCCCCAGCTCTGACTTTTCCCCTTGGTTGGCAGGGCATCGCTTGGGCAGCAAGATCTCACTCTGTGGCCATCAGAAGCTTGCTTGGGCCACACATGGCTCTTAAAGGGGCAGCATTTTTGGGGTGGTTTTTTTGTTGTTCCTTTTTTTGCTCAACAACTTCTTTCCCTCAGATCTTTGCACTGTATCCGCCACTATTTTGGCTCTCTGTAATGCGCTGGCCACCCTTGCTCTAAGTAAACCACCATATCAAGCCCTTAATGTGAGCTAGAAGGAGGGTCACCTATTTTCCCCTCACACTGAGGTTAGATAGGACAGGCACCAGGATGCATGCCCAGAGACAGAAATTTAGGCACCTAAGAGCCAAATCTTCCCAGTCTTATGCCAGTGTCTTAAGCACTAGATAGAAGGAAATATGAACCTAAGAGCTGTTATTGCAAAGCTTACCATTTGTTTTCTGGAAACTGAGTAGGTAGTGGAGACAGTTGTAATGTATCTGGAAATTCAGTAGTTGGGATCTATTAGCCTTCCTAGCAGACCACTTGAAACAGCATTGTGAGATCCACAGTCTCCTTCAAGCCTACACAAACAGCAATGGCTTTTGAATGATTTACTTATTTAACCAATTTAAACAAAAGGATGCCCTTTGAGTCAAATATCTACTGTTTACCTGATTCAAATGAAGCAAAATAAGCAAAGTAGGACCACTGCATTTAAGGATATTGGCTTCCATTATAAACACCCTGCTCAACCAGTACAAATAAAAAACAAACCACAGAAGAAAATAATTAACCTTGATTTTCTGCAGTAATCAGGTCCACCAATTAAAAGGAAAACAGTATGGGTAATGTGGCACCAGAGTGAAAAAGAAACTTAAAAAGGCATTCCTTCCTGGACCCGAAGTCAAGAACACGTTTGATTTAAAAAATAAAAATCCTTCACTTCACAGCTCCTTGAAACAAAGCATAAGTGTGGTATCTAATTCATACAATAAAAATAAATGAAGAAATTCTGATAAGAGTTACAAACAAAATGCATGGTAGTTTTGCAAAGTCAGTACACTTTCTTTTGTATCAAAATGTAGAAAGTTTCTGAACATCCATAAATCTCTTTAAAGAAGACTAAAATTGATAATGCAGTGATTTTAAATCAAGTGTTGATTTTTGCCTCTCCCAAACCATACTTTCTAACAGAAAGAAGAATGAAAGAGGAAACCAGTCAAGAAAATGTGATGTGATAGCTGCAGCTTTCTAATCAGTGCAGGTGTCCACCTATAAGCCATCACCACATTCAGAACCTTATCAGACTCCTACTGGAACAACTTCACAGGAGTTTCAGATTTCTCCAAGTTGGGAAAAACAATGGAATCACAAATGACTCCTTTCAGGAACTTTGGAAAATCACCAGTGCCATAAAAAGATAGTCACTGTTTTTCAAACACCAACAAATTAACTATGTAGGTACCAGCAAACCATTGTTGCTTTGAAAATTTTTAAAAAATTAGACCAATATTATGCTACCAAAAGACCTATTATTTTAATAGTTGTTTACCATTCAAATAGGTCTGTATTTCTATTTAGACATAAATACCTAATAAAGAATGGTGATTCTTTAAATCTTAAATTCTTTAAATAACTTTAATAGTTACATTTTATGGACAAATATGTGGACTTTAATGTTTATGGTGGTTCTGGATGTTTATATGTATCTATAATTATGCAATTAACTTTTAACTTTCTTAATAATCTCAAGAAATGCATAATGTATCCAGATAGTTATAAGTGCACATTCATTTATGGATAGAAAATGTTAACCACTAACCTCTCTTTGGAAGCAAAAATGTTCAGCCTAGATTTTGGAAAAAAATTCTGAATGTATTAGCTCTTTTTTTAAAGTCATGTTGCATACTACAAAAACAGCTAAATAAAATCATAGGTCATGATCTTTGATTGTTATTAATGTTTAGAAAATACCTATGTGGCTGTATATTTTGTAAACATACTATGCACTTCAATAACATCTCAGTTTAAATAAACTTTGTACATTTTATTTTTAATTTTATGTTGTGTAAATGATCCTGTATCCAAAGAAAAATTAAGCATTTTATCTAGCTTGTTTTGTAAATTTCATATCAACGTAAAACTTTTCCTACTCAATTTGACACAGTTAAATAAAAATCAGTTATTCAATTATATTTTAGCAGACTTTGCATTCTTAAAGCATAAAAGTCATTCTAATGTTGGTACACAGAAATTATTACTGTGAGCTAGCATTTAACTCATAAGACAATATAATCAAATGACTATACTTTCTCTTGTCACGATAACACAATGTGATTTGCATTGGGATGCACGTGTTATTTCACATTTCCAAGACTCAATTAAATGTCAATCTAATTGTTCTGCGAGTCTTGAAAACTGAACATTTTCCTACAAATAAAATGAAACGTCATTGCCCTTATTTTAGGATAAGCAGCAACTTCAGCAATAAAAGTACTGGTCTTATATTTGTTCTTAATCTAGAATAAAAATTAGCATTAACTTATTCCTGGAAAAGATCAACAACATGGTGCTCAACTCCATTCAAGATCACCCTTGACTTATGTACAGGGTGTTTTGGTGGGGGTGTTTTGTTTTTTGTTGAAGGTGTGTAGAATACACACAAGCAAGCCTATTTAGAAAAATGGATTTTTGCAGGTGAGACTCTGGTATTGCCTACAATTGTATCAGACATTTGGATTTAGGGTTGCTAGGCATCCAGAATTCCCAGTAGAAAAAGGACCCTGATAGCTCCCATCAGCACCACTGAATGGCTATTAAAAGTGCAGGCAGTGGTGCTAAGACAGGCTCCCTCCCTGCTCAGATTCCACATGGCTCCTAGGTACAGGGGCAGTCAGCGAGACTCTGTATGCTCCCTATATGCCGAGTCCCACGGCAAATCCCATGGAGCTGTGGGAGCAGCGTCTGAGAACACTGGCAGCGTATAGAACCCCTTGGTGGCTGCTCCTGTGCCTCCTACACCACTCATCCTCAGCCCCAGACCAGTGAAAGCAAAGATGAGAAAAGAGCAAGCAACAGAGGATGGGGCGATGGGAGGAGCAGGGCCTCAGAAGGGGCAGGGAAGGGGGTTCAGTTTTGTGTAATTTAGAAAGTTGGCAACCCTGTTTGGGCCCAAATCCCACCACAGCAAACCCACATGAGTAGACCCTGCCTGGGAGTTCACAAGATTAGAGCCATTGTGTGTAAGCCTTTAAAATTGAACAGATACAGATGGAAACTGTTGGGGGGAAAAAAAAAATCAGAACTCAATTATATAAGGAACTTGCTTTAAAAAATAATCCAAAGTTTTTTGTTCTCAAGCTCCCACAGTAAGTTGTGGGTTTTTTAAGCCTAGTTAAACATCCCAAAACAAAAGGAATCAGATTATGTGGGATCATTTCTTAAAATGAGTTTGATAACATTTGTTAAATCTTTACATTACATGAGCTATTTAGAGTGA